CTACTGTTGTCCCAATTTTTAATAAAAATTTTGAAAAATGCCCGACTTTAAACAAATAACAAGGTAAATAAATGCCCGAGTTTAAACAAAAAACAAGGTAAATGTGTTAGATGACGTCAATAATCAGTTGAATGATGTCATAGTTCATGGACTTAGCGATTTGTTGTGTTAATGCCCGACTTTAAACAAATAACAAGGTAAATAAATGCCCGAGTTTAAACAAAAAACAAGGTAAATGTGTTTGATGACGTCAATAATCAGTTGAATGATGTCATAGTTCATGGACTTAGCGATTTGTTGTGACCCTAACGATTTACTGTAGGGATGGATCCCGGATCCCGTTTTCTTTACACATCTAGGACCGGTTGGACAATGCTGATTCCGGATCAGGGTATTGAATTTTAAACACTACCCAGCACTGAATTTTTAAACACTACTCAAAACTATACGTCTCCATGTATGCGAGCAAATTCTTGACTTAGGCTACCTCTCCATGTATGTGAGCAAATTCTTAACTTAGGCTACGAAACTTTGGTATTGCATAAATACTTGTATGCGAGCAAATTCTTGACTTAGGCTACTTTTCTCCATGTATGCGAACAAATTCTTGACTTAGGCTACGAAACTTTGGTATTGCATAAATACTTATGTTTAAAGAATTTCACTAGTAGAGTTGATGGGTTAGAAATGATTTTCCGTGCCAATTTCAGCATGCCTGCCAGATTGAAGTCCATAACATGTCGAAGTCCCAAATCCCATCCTCTTGCTTCAAGCATAGCATCTTCTAATTAACCAAGTGTAGTCTCCTATTATCGGTAGTACTTGCCCAAAGGAAATCACCTTGCAACTTAACTATGATATTACAAGTACGCCTCGACAATATAAATTATATCATCAAGTAAATAGTTGATGCACTCATAACATACTTGAGCAACTATAGTCTCCCTACAAATGAAATGGATAATGCTTGCCAAGAGCCAATCTTGCCAAAGAACTTTCCAATTAAGTTTTGACAGTGCGAATGCCTCAAAGAACCATGAAATAAAGGCAACCTCAGATATCTGACAGATAGTTCACTAGTACCAAACTACAACACATTCACTATTAGAGTTTTTACATTGTCAGGAACACCAAAGAATATAGCCTTACTTTTATTGTTATTAACTCTTTGTCCAGTTGCCTTGCATAAATCATCCAAAATATGCCTCATAGAAAGGGCACCTTGACATGTAACATCATAAAAGATAAGAGCATCATCCACATAGAGAACATGATTGACTCTATAGTTGCAACCAGAAGGAAATGCAAGAGGCAAGGACTTATTAAGAAATAATTTATCAAGCATCCGATTAAGATAATCCATCACAAACAGGAATAAGAATGGTGGTAGTGGTTCACCTTGTCGAAGACCGTGCTTGCTTCTAAAATAACCACAAGAGAACCATCATGCATAATAGAGAAAGAAGGGGTAATGATACATAACTATGCCAAAGAAACGAAGATAGTTGCAAATCCCAATGCATGAAGTCTATCAAGAATGAACCTCCAGGACACTATGTCATATGTGCTACTTAGATCCAGCCGAAGGCACATTTTTGGTCTAGTTGAAACTCTATGGCATAAGGAAACTAACTCATTAGCCGTGAGAAGATTATCAGTGATCAATTTGCCTTTAAGGAAAGTCGCTTGACATGAATGAATTAGACCATCTAGCACCTTCTCTAATCTGCATGCAATTATTTTGCTGATAATTTTATATAACACATTACATAACCCAATTGGTTGAAAATATTTCATAGTCATAGGGCAAGAAATCTTAGAAATCAAATAGATAAAGATAGAATTCATTTCTTTTAGAAATTTGGCCTTTCCAAAGAAATCTTTAAGGGTAGAATTCATTTCCAAGGAATTTGTTCAAATCCAACTTTTATATACAAAGAATGGAACACCTTGGGTATGTGATTATGAAGTCTTTAATGGGTCATTTGGGACCCTAACATATGTGATTAATGGGTCATTTGTATATCCAGGTTTTGATGGTCTAAGGTCGTTTGGGTGTAGTTTTTGAAATCATATATTGGATATCCACATCCTCAAAACTACTCATATCCAATATTTTCTCATTCTAAAAAAAACTTAGAATGAGCAAATGCAAGGTTTTGGAAAGCTATATTTGCATTGGGGCACGTGCCTCCTCCTTTTTTATTTTCTCCCTCCCTCCTCACAATAATGGTATTATTCTATAGTTATAATATTTTATATTTAATATTTACTATTATTATTGTTATTATTATCATCATCATCATCATCATCATTATTATTATTATTATTATTATTATTATTATTATTATTACAATTATTATTATTATTTCAAATATTTATCATAAAATATCATCAACATTATGAATATTAGTATTAATATAATATCATAAGATATAATATCATTATATTCTATTTAATATTATGTTGATATATTAATATCATATTATGCGGATATGAAAATATTTTATATTTTATTATAATATTTATTAGTATTGTAATATTATGTTAATACTAATAAAATGGAATTAAATTATTATATAATTATTAATTATGATTATAGTATTTATGTGAAATTTTTTTGTTGTTGTTGTTGTTCCAAACATTTATCATGAAATACCTTTAACATTATTAATATTAGTATTATAATATTATAATATAACAGTAACATATAATATCATTATATTAATTTAATAAAATAATATTATAAAAATATTATGATATTATAATATTTATTAATATTATAATATTTGATTAATACTGATAAAATAGAATTAAATTATTATAATTGTGATATTATAATATAGTTGCAATATTTATGTGTATTATTATTATTATTGAATTCATTAAAGTGCTTACAAATAATATTTTTGAATTTATTCAAGTGTTTCGACACTTTCATATCATCTCTCATCCTTAAAGAATATAATTTTCTTTTTAATAAAATTAGATTTGTGTTGAACTTTGTTTGATTCAAGCTTTGTAGCTTTACCCATATATATGCCACCTTCTTTTCTCCGTCTATATTAAATAGTATTTCATTTGCTAAATACAAGTGGATTATGGCCAGGGCCTTCCTGTCTAATTCTTCCCAATCATCATCCTTCATATTTTCTGATTTATTGGATTTTTCTTGTAGTGTTTTATGAAGGCCTTGTTGCCTTGTTGTACTAATATATCATGAATTTTTATTTTTCAAAGTTCAAAATCATTTCTTCCATCAAACTTCTTTACTTAAAATTTGCAAGTAGCCATTTTTCCAAATTACTACACACTTCTTTTAAGCTCTGATGCAACTTGTTAGGAACCAAGGCTACATCGATTATCCTGTGTTTCAGTGAACCCCACTACACAAATCTAATACCTTGAAACCACCAATCACTGGTAAACTGATTCCAATAAATCCGACATCCTAGAATCGAATAAATGGTGTAGTAAATTTTGTATACATATGATGAAATCAAGAGAAATTAAAATAGGAAACCTAATAGCACAACCGCACAATACAAATCATAATCAAAGCACCATAAACACACAATATACATGGTTCACCCAAAATTGGACTGCATCTACCGACAATCGGTAAACAAATGATTCACTACTAATAGAAGAAATTTACAAATTTGTGAATTTTGTATGGTAAAAAAAGCTCAAATTGATTTTCCTACCATAATACCATCACCAATCAACTCCTTGCTACGTTTATGTTAACTAACATCGTCATCGCAAGGAAATCATGATAAAATCCGACCCAATACAAAGGCACAATGGTGCTCGAGTTTGTGCAAGAAACCCCCAATCTCTACCTCCCAAAACTTCTCTATACTTTTCTTGCTTTTTCTATATCTAAAATTCATTTTTATGGGCCTCCATAAAATGCTCTCTTCACATGATGAAGTTAACCCTAAATAAAGAGAAGATACCGAGTCTTTTTTACATCACTTTCCAACAAAATATACCTCATGAAATGACAAACCCTTGGCTATCTAAACTCACCATGAAGACCTTTTCTTTTCTTTTCTTTTAGATTTTCCCACAATGCACAAAAGAAAATTTTGATTGCAATAAAGCTTTATTTCATCTTCTCATGCTCATATGAGCCAATTAGAATATTTGTTGATTGAAGCTATCTATTTTTTTAACCAAACCAAGCTTAGTCATTTATTTTCAAGAACCTCGTGCATCCATCCTTAACGATCAGCATAAATTTTTTCCAAAATCATTCAACATCACCCATAACCCTTCAACTTCAAATAACAGCTTCAAACTGGGTTTGTAACACAGGTTAAGGCCGTAGGCTAGGCTGTGCCGAACTTAGTAGGGTAGAACATTTTTGGCACTGGGTCTATCCCCAAATTTTTTTTAGAGTAATGATCCTATGAGACCTTCTCACATCCATGTTTGTAGGATCCCAAAGGATCATCATTAAATTTGGCACAGATCTCTAAAAAAGTCAAGTCCCACACCCAATTGATAACTTTTATAGAGATCTGTGTCAAATTTAATGGTGATCATTTAGAGTCCTACACACATGGATGTATGAAAGTCTCATAAGATCACTACTCTTTTTTTTATTCTTAGAAACTTTGAGAAACTTTCTACATTTATAAAAAGACCGGGCCGTTTGGGTATGTTCTTTTGGGTTCGGGTCTCATCATCAAAAATTCCAGCCGATCCCGGGCATATCCCAACCCAAACCCAGCCCGCTAATCTTCTGGCATTAGGTCCAACACGAAATTTATTTTCGTACACTTTAAGAAATTCCTATATTTATAAAAGGACCATCCCAGCCCGGCCCATTATTTTTGGTTCAGGCCTCATCATCACGAATTCCGCCTGATCCCAAGCCCACCTTACATGGTTCATGTTCAGTCCGGGCCAAGACCGAACTCGGCCCGCTAACTGCCCTATCCTATAGCATTGTTAACTTAACCATCCCATTGAATAAGTTTTGTGGCCTCTCCCTGTAGTGTTGAGGAATAGCAAAAATGCCCCAGGCGTCGTTGCGGCTCTCAGCTTCCCTAAGCCCCACCCCTGTTTCCTCTCATCAAAAGCTTCCTCCGCTGCCATGCCTCACCACCCCCTTGAGCTTGAGGTTGAGCTTGAGGTTGAGCTCGAGATTGGGCTTCACAAGAAGAAGAGGTTTTCTTTCAAAGGATTTTACCCTGAAATGCCGTCGCCCTGAGTACTTTGAACCACAGAAATTCACTCCACCTGCTGATAACTCCTTCAATGGACAGTCGTCTGGTCTCTCTCTCTCTCTCTCTCTCTCTCTCTCTGTTTTATATATTTTGTTTGTCTTTTCGGGTAGGGAACCATGAATATTTGAGGTCTCATGTTCCTTTGTTTAGTATCTCTTTTTTTGTCTTCCGTTTCTCTATTGGTGTTATAACTACCGACTTATGCTTTGTTTTGAGAAAAATGGCAGATAACTTCACTTCTTGAGATTTATTGTCATTTTTTTCACAGAGACGATAGTGCAGTTTTTGGATATCTATGATAGCAGCGAGCATATTGGCAAAATTCCTTTTTTGTATGTTTTTTTTACAGAGTCTGCGATGCTTTGTGGTTTTTGTCTATTGATGATTACTTTGAGAAATGCATGGAATCCTTCATTTCTTTGTGGAGGGGATAACATCCATGGCTAAAAGAGGCTTCCTGGGGCTTGTGTTAATATCATTAATAAAACCAGGCACGTTTGTCCTTTCGGCTCATTCAGTAGGGCTGAAGTGGCTTTCATCCATGAGTTTCGAAATGCTATCTTTCGAATAAGCTTCACTTGAAGTTCAAACGACCAGTTGTCCAAATTTTATGGTTTAACATGAATATAAATGATCTTTGTGATTATGCTGAGAAAACTTTGAGGTAATGATCACGTTGGGCCATGTCAACGCATTTGAGTGTAGAGTCAGTCGCTTAATGGGGGGTGACGAGGCAACTTACAATGAGAATTGCATACCAATCAGTGTGATGCAAACACTATGCCGTGCTGACAACATGCATATGTGCATGCTCGAGTGTGAGGTGTTATCTGCCCATTTGGGATACTAAAGCTACTGTTGGTAGTTTCCTGTTTTTTTTTTTTTGAGGAGAATGTTAACTTTTGTATTGATAATAAAATATTTACATGAAAATAAATCTACTGACGGCAGCCCACATATTGGGTGCTCAGCTACACTGAATATTGAAGTGCAGAAAGAGCAAGTTTGCTTAAAGGGGGGAGAGGGAGAAATTCCCAAGTAAAAAAATGCTACTAATAACTCATTTAAAGCGAAAGCAAAATTAGGGGCAGTTGAAGCCTGACAGCATAACAGTTTTACAATCCAGAGAGAATATTTAGAGGAATTAGGGGTAGGGGGAGAGAAGAAGTGTTGCTAGTGAGAAATTGGTGGCTGTCATCCTGAGGATCTGATAATTTGAGGATAAAAGTGCTGAGCCTGATGGGGGTGAAGTGGTGATTCTGAGCCAGCTGTGTGAATGCTTTAATCCTGTGGGCAGATTGTTGATGAGCTTGTTCACCATCCTGCAGGCCTATGACGCAGCAATCCTTCGTGACACCAATCTGGCCGGAAATTACCAAGTGTGTGAAGAGGGAGAGTTGAGAGAAACTATATAATTCTTTGTTCTCTCATAGTAGGGAGAAAGAGGCGAGAGAGGTAGCTAAGGGAATAGCACATAAGCTTGTAAGGGTGAATTTTTATGAGGAAGAAGTTATGAGGGGGGAAGAAAGAGAAGAGAGTAGGAGGGAAGAGAGGAGTATATGGGGATGAGGCGAGACAAGTATAAAGAAAAAAGAGACAAAATAAAGTTAACATAACTCCTAGAGAGAATCCTAGGGAGGATAGGAGGTTAGAGGAAGAGGAGGGAGGCAGGGTAGAATGAAGAGAGAACCTCAACTTTGTTTTTTTCTACTTTTTTTTTTGCCCCTTTCTTCTCTTCTTTATCCCCCCCCCCCCCCGGTCCCTTTTTTTTTGGGGGCTTCTGAGTGTGGATGGGGGTTTCAAGAAGAATCGAGAAATTAGGGAGTTTAGGGAGGATGAGAGTCAGAGAAGTAAGAGAGGAGAGAGGCCTTTAGAGATTATGAGGAGTAGATTGTGCACCTTGGCCCCAAATTGATGCTTCTTTTGCTAGGCAGTCAGCTTCTGGATTGGCCTCTCGAAAGATTAATTTGAAGATCACTTGTGGCATTGTGCCGCACAGAATATTGATGTGCTCAAAATGGAGAATAGCCTCCAAGGTTCCTGCTGATGAGTAGCCCAATGGATTCTATTTCTGGAGTCTGACTCAACTAAGATCCCTTCGGCAGGAGGCCCCATCGATGCCACACATTTGAGGCCCTCGAGTAAGGCTAGAGCCTCCGCATAGGTGGAGTCATTCATTCCTTTATATTAAAAAAATGCCTATATGGTTGCAGATGGATCTGCAAGCTGCCCTCCTATTCTAGAGGGTTTTGGGTTCCCTAGAGAAGATATGTCTATGTTTGGTTTCAAGAAGCCGGGTGGTGGGGGAGCTCATAGAGCGTTGGGTCTGATGGTAGGGGGGATAAATTAAGAATGCACTCCCAATTTGTCAAGAAATGAGAGATTGAGATGGGACAAAGGTTGGAATTGTTTTAGCGCAAAAATAATTTAGGACATAAATGGTTTCAAAAACTACATGCTGACTTCTAGGGTTCCTCTAATAATTCTTGCATTTTGCTCAACTCACAAACTTCATAACAGAGCTGCTATGGATAGATGCCAAAGTATTTTCCCATATTTTGAGAATGGGGGGAAGAAGGATTCAAATAGGTTAGTGAGGGTCAAGGGAGTAACCCATTGGAGGCCAAAGAGTTTGAGAAGGGATGACCATAGACCTAGGGAAACCTCACAATGGATGAAAAGATGAGGGATATTCTCCTCTTTTTGCATAAAAAAAATACATCAATTGGGAAGAGAAACCCCTCTATGATGAAGTTGATCCAAGGTGAGTGTTTTGCCTTGAAGGAGGATCTAAATGAAACCTTGAACTTTATGGGAGATAGGTAAGGACCATGTTTTGTTGAGGAGGGGGTGGGGGTTCATATTAGGGAGCAGGGAATTATAGAAGGAGGACACTGAACAACATCCCGAAGAGTTGGGAGACCAAATTTGGGCATCTTGTTGAATGAAGGGGCTGAAAATGGGTGCAAGAATTTGCAGAAGGGAAGTGAAAGAGATTAATTCTTGGTCTGAGAGGTTCCTCCTAAATATTGGGGTCCAAACAAGGTTGGACCCATTGAATTGCACATAGTTAGCAATGAGTGCTGCTTGATTTGTTGTGAGTAAAAAAAGAGAGTGGAAGGATATCTTGAGAGGGGAGTGGCCAATCCAAAGATCAGTCTAGAACTTGATTCGCGGACCATTACCTAGCCTAAATCTGGTGCGATTGAGGAAGGCAGCTTTTGTGGAAGGGATGCTCTTCCAAGCTCCTGAGGACCTATGAGGGGGGATTTGGGCAGCCAGTCTTTGTTACCCAACCCATATTTAGAGCTGATTACCTGTTTCCATAGAAGGGGATGTGGGGAAGAAAACTTCCACCACCATTTTCCCAATGGGGCAAGATTTGTGGTTCTCAAGCTTTTTATTCCTAGGCCGCCAAGTTTTATTGGGATGCAGATCTTTTCCTAGGCGATTAAAAGGTATTTTTTGGAGCCCTCCACTCCAGACCAAAGGAAGTCTCGTTTTTCCAGGCCTTGATTAATCGAGATAGGATTTGGAATAAAGACATTGAGTAGATGGGGATACTGGCGAGGGTGGCTCTTATTAAAATGATTCTACCCCCAAAGGATAGGAACGTCCTTTCCCAGAGGCAAACTTCTATGAAAATTTCTCTATCAGATTGTCCCATAGATGTTTTCTAGGTTTTACTAAGCAAAGGGGCAGACCTAGGTATGAGGAAGGAAGGGATTCTATGGAACAACCTAAGCAGAGTGCTAGACTCTCGAGTTCTGAGTTGTCGACCAAAACCCCTGGCATTTTGGTTTTGGCAAGATTTACTTTCATTTAGGTCAGGAGTTCAAAGGTTCTAAGGAACTGCCATTAGCAGCCTACTTGGTTAGCATTGGCATCACAAAATATGGCTGTATCGTTTGCATAGAGGAGGTGAGAGGCTATTGGACCAGATGGGGAGGAACAAAACCCCTAGAGATGACCCCTATCATACAACTTAGAGATGGTTCTAGAAAACAACTCATTTATAAGTGTGAAAAGGCAAGGCGAACGGGGATCACCTTGCAGGAGCCCTCTTTTAGCATGGAAGGATCCTTCGGGGTGCCATTTTGGATATACAGGCTCGGTTCCAGTTTCTCCTACGGGGATTAAAACCCATATGACTTTGGATGGAATCTAAGAGTTCCCAGTCCATTTTGTCGTATGCCTTCTCCCAATCTAATTTTATAATCAATCTTTTCTAGCCTGATAGGGACCTAGAGTGAATGGCCTCATGAGCTATTAGGGCGCCATCTAAAATTTGCTTGTTACACACAAAGGCAGATTTTGTTGAGGAGATGACTGAGTGCTAGACCTCCTGAAAGTGGGAGGCAAGTGTCTTTGCAAGGATTTTATACGAGGAGTTGAGAAGGCTAATTGGGCGGAAGTCCTTCAATCTATGGGCGCCTTCTACTTTTGGGACTAGAGCAATAAAGGTGGAATTTAAGGTTGAATTGAGTCTACCTCCATGAAAAAACTCTTCAAAAGAAGGCTAAAACGTTCGGGGATGTAGTGTCCTATAAATTTTGGAAAATTGCTATTGGAAATCCGTTCGGTCCTGAGGCCTTGTCTTTGAGCAGATCAAAGACAACTCTGCGAATTCCTTGATGGAAAAGGCCTTGCTAGGCTATGAGATGCTTCTTGGGAAAGGGGTTTAAACCCCTATCCCAAAGCAGGGCGAGGGTGAGAAGGCCTAGAGAAAAGATTTTGAAAGTATCTTATGAAGAGGTTCTTTATTTTGGGCGGGGGGCGGCTGGGAATAATAGTTTGGACCTACCGAAACTTGGGTAATTAAGTCCCCCCTATGTCTAGAGCTGGCTGTCTTGTTGAAGAAACTAGTATTTCTGTCCCTCTCTTTGAGCCATTTGATTTTAGAGTGTTGGAATCAATACGTTTCTTCCTGCTTTAGAATTTGGGCTAGATTTGCTTTAGCCTGATATCTAGAGTCTCTTTCATGGGAATATGAGGGCGAGTTTCTTCTACTGCATCTAAATCTGACAATGTGGACGTCTGGGCTCTTAAAGGATCCTTAAAGTTTGAAGGCAGATTTCGGTTCCACTGTTTCAGAGAAGCTTTAAGTATTTGAAGTTTTCGGGTTGGCCTAGATCCAGCCCAACCAGAAATTGAAGAAGAGGACCAAGTGGAAGAGAACAAAGGGGCAAAGGATGGTTCTTCCAACCAAAAAAGCTCGAATTTGAACGGTTTGTTTGAATAGGGAATTGGGTTGGTGTCTTAAAGGATATGCTTATGGTCTAAGGTGGCCTTCGGGAGGGCCCTAGAGCAAGATCCTGGGAAAGAGGATTCCTAGGTTTGGTTGACAAGGAAGCGATCTATCTTTGTAATTGTAGGGATAGGGGCATGATTGGACCAAGTAAATGATGCCCATGAGAGAGGGATACTTTTGATGAACTCTGAGAAGGCTTTCATAGATGCGGTCAGACGACCACCATTTGATTTCTCATGAGGCCACATGACTGCGTTGAAATCGCCACCCAGAAACTAGGGGATGTGGGGAGGAGCAACAGAGAGTGTAAGTTCTAGCCATATATTTTCTCTAAGAACCGGGCTATTAGGGCCATAGACAAAGGTGGACCTGAAGAGGAAATTGTCGAAAATTCGATGAAAGGAAGTGGTTATAGAAAAATCCCGGATTTGGGACGAAATGCCATAGAGGACAATTGGGTTCCACATAACCCAAATGCCCCTAGAGGCGTCCTGAGAGTCTTAGACTACTCAAGCATAGGGGCTTTGTCCCCAAATTTCCTTAACCAATGCGAGGTCAGGGGAGGGAATTTTAGTTTCAAAAACTGCTAGGATATCGGGGAATTGAGACATTTCTAGGGAGTGGACAACACAACATTTAGCATGGCTGCCAAGTCCTTTGATATTCCAACAGAGGACCCTTATCGAGGTGAGTTTGGGTGCTGAGAGGATTTCCTAGTGGATCTCCTGTTTTTAGGGCAAGGGGTAGGTTGTAAGGGAGGGAGATCAATTGGGCTGAGCTCCTAGGGGTATCATAGTTCACCCTAGAGTGAAGTTTGGTCAATTCCTTAGATCCTCTATTAGGCCTTGTAGAGGAGATTACCTGAGGTGCACTCGCTGCAGTGCTATGGTGCGACGAGATTCTTGAGATGTCTCCTGAGAATGCAAGGTCACAGTTGTCAATCATGTCTGCCATAAGGGGCTCGGCCCAGTCTATTCTTTCTAACTCCCTTGAGTCAGCCGATACAGTGGACTGGATGTCGGAGTTGAATTCAGGGTTTGGGAGAGAGTTTTGTGTGAGAGGAGAAATTGAGGTTCCTGGGAAGGGATGAACATGAGCTAGGAAAAGAGGGGCCTTTTCAGGGGAAGAGCAAGATGGGGGGAGGGAAAAGTAGTTCAAGGGGAGGATGCATGGAGGAAGGCTCCCTCACGAAGCCTGAGCAGCGTTAAGTGCAAGTCTCATCTCGAGAAGGATAGGGACCGAATCATTGAGGTCTGAGAACTGGAGACTGGTACCTGGAGGGTTAGGTAAGGAGGAGGTGAAGGGGTAAGAGGGAGTGGGGTTATCAGGGGATGACTCTGAGAATACAAAGGGGGAGTGGAGAGAAGTGTAGGGGTAGGGAACCCATAGCAGCTTACATATTGGGGGTGGGGGAGAGGGGAAGGATGGCGGTGTGATTGAGATTCTAAGGAGGAGGGGTTATTGAAGGTGGAATGTAGTTAGGAGGATTTGGTGAAGGACGCGACCTGCTAGGATAGGAAGGCCGCTGCTTTTCTTGGTGAGGCATGGGGGAGGATGTGTAGGGATTGAAGGGTTCGAGAGGGAGGGGTAGAGTAGGAGGGGCATGGGAAAGACGATAAGGGTGAGGAGAGGAGCTGTTGCTGGAGTAAGGGAAGAGGGCCAAGAAGGGGTTAGAGATAGGAGTGGGGGGAGTATATAGGAGGGGAGACCGGAAAAATGAGAAGTTTCTTGGTAGGTTTCATTGAGGATGGCCGAGGTTTCTGTGGTTGGTGGTGATGGTGAAGAGTCAGTAGGGGGTGTAAGTGGAGGAGGAAGAAAGAGGCTCAGGGAGAGGTTTGAGGGTTGGGTCTTGGGAATTGGAGAAGTTGAGCCAGGTGTCAAAGAAAGGAAAGGAGAGGGGTCAAAGAATGATGGCTGAGATTTTAATGCAGCCGTCCTTGGAGGATGGGAAGGAGAGGGAAAAGGTGGTGGAGGTGGCACTTGAGCATGTGGAAGACATGTGGAATTGGAAAAGAGATGCCTGAAGGGGGGATTATGGTTCCTAGTACCAGGGTCATTTAAGATATGCAATTCTTTTTCAAACATTATCATGGTATGAAAGCAGCAATCAGTGAGGCTGGGTTTTGTCATGCTATTTTGAAATTTTGCGTGATTATTTGTTGTGCCTTACCATTAAGCACTACTTTGCTCTACTTCTAAGTTCTAATATAGTCCCTCTAAAATCTTTCTTTTCCTTTTTGCAATATCTTGATGTGTAGGATTTAGAATTTTCCTCAGATATCATAAGTCTTCTGGTATCGCTGCTGTAGTCTCTCATTCATTCTCAGTTAATGGAAGCTGTATCTGCACAGTCAATATTTACGAAAATTGACCTTGTAGGTGCTTCTTTCTTTTCTAGATGATTAAGTTTGGCTGATTACTTTAGGTAGCATGATCTTGTTAATAAAGTTTATACCTCATGAACTTGGTGTTTAGTCATTGATAATTAGCAGGGGAAAATTAGACAATATTATATTGTGTACAATATAATGGTTCCATGCTACTTTTGTTATTATCTGTAAATTATTTCATCATCTTGCCTATCTTTCTTGAAATTTTTGTTTCTGGTAGGTTGTTCTTTCCTCATTGTCATTTTTGCATTAGGTTTTCCCTGTTCCCAATTTTTTCTCCATTTTGGTTTAAAAAAAGTGTGTTTATTTTGCTAGGCTTTCTTTGCTGCACCTGTGGCTAGTTATTATTAATAAGCACATAATATTTCCAAATGAGTTTGTCTCTTCAGAGATAATACATATTTTGGTTTTAATAAATGCTATTGGTGTATATTCAATAAATGAATTATCTCTTGATACTGTTGTACTTGGAATATTTCCATTATTTTGCTAACTTATATTATGAATCTAACCATGTGCAATTATTCATACACTTGCCAACACTAAGGACCTGTTTGGATTGCTTGAAGTTGCGGATAGTGCTGAATTATACTCATGGGCTTCATCATGATTGGTTCAGTGTTCTTTTCTATAATGTTCAGCTGATTTTGTATGATAAAGCAGAATTTGGGGGATGGGGTAAAACCATAAAAACCTGTTTTATTCTCCCATCTGCAATAATGGAGTGCTGAGCGGTGACTAACACGCACAACCCAAACTGGCTGTAATATGCAATATTTATCAAAACTTCAAAATTTACTCTGCGTGCACCATACTTTTATCGTAATTATTTATTGGTAATGAATTTATTATGCTTTTTGGCAAAAAGATAACTCTGTGTCTGTGTCACACACCATAGTTAAGTGTCAAAAAAATAGAATGTTATAAATGGAGAGTCATGAAACCCAATTGTAATTCGTAGAGTGCCATTTTCAATTGTTGGTGCATCCTTTTTCTTGTATAGGAGAAAAGTTGACATCTAGCTTTTCGAAACTTGAGAGCGCCATTGCATTTATTGCCTTTCTGCAACCAGTTATGTCTGTCATTTCTCTGATTTTTGTTTGGCAATATTTAATAGAATTGGATCATAATTTACTGATAGTGAGAATATCATCCTGGTCCACTGTCAAGGATGGTAGAAATTGAGAGTTTCAGTTTGTTTTTGGCTGAATATTTTATTCAAAATCAATAAATGAACTCGAAAATCGTTTTGCAAGCATATTTTGATGAATCATGAATGTTTTTACCTTTTTTTCTTAATTGCTTCATTTGAGGTCCATTACACCTTTGAATGTTGTAGTGTCACTGATCGATCAATTTCATTCCAATGTACGAAATTTAATCTTTGAGATTTTTTATGAGGTTTCATATAATGAGGATATTTAGATCTATTAATTATCAAAAAGGAAAAAGATGGATGTTTAGATCTCTTTGTTTAATGTTTCATTTTAAGTTGGGCTTCATAACCATTGTGTGGTTCTTCTTTTTGCATGTTCTCTACCATGCCTTTACATGAATGTCATCGTTTGATTGATTTTTTCTTGCAGGGTTGTCAGGAAGGGTGTATGTTGGTCACTCTATCTTCAAAGGAAAAGCAGCACTAACAATAGAGCCAAAAGCCCCTGAATTTACTGCTTTAGAAGTACGTTGAAGTTGTTCTATTTCATTGTAAGATCTCAGTTCTATTTGGACCTTGGCTGCTGAAATTGCAACAACTTTGTGCTGTATAGGGTTTTCTCTAAATTTTTTCTTGCACGGAAATTCCAGTTTTTTTTTTTTTAAGAATGCTGTTATACTTATGAAGAAGTAAGTCATTGGGCACTTATGTTATTATTACTTACTTCTACAGTCAGGAGCATGCAAGGTTGTAAAGGATGGTTCGATCCTTCTTCAGTTTGCTCCCGCAGTTGGTACTCGACAATATGATTGGAACAGGAAGCAAGTATGTCCTTCCTCTTTTTCTTGTCATGTTTTTTAATTAATGCGAAGCTTAATTTTCAATTAGTCAATGTCTTTCTTTCTCTTCTGCCATGCATTTTGTGTGGTTCTCCATAATAGCAAGTGGGGAAGTTTTTGGATCTTTTGTTTTGGCTTTTCTTTTCTCTTTGAATCTACCATTTAAAGACTCTCCAAAAGTCCGTGTTGGCAGCAGAGTCTTAAAATTGAAAGCGTTTTTTATTTTAGATGCCAAAAGATTTCCTTTTCCCGCTAGAGGATACTATCCATTTCCTCCCTTGGGCAAAATACATACTATGGATTCTTCTCAAATTTTGGGGATGTAATCTTTCAACCCATAGAATAATCGTGGCAAAAAAAAAAAATCCAAAATAAACTCTCTATGCACTAGCAAAAACTTATGTTTCAAGATTGAGTAGAGACCATGCAATTTTCGAAGGGCTAGATCGAAGTGTTAGAAAACTTAAAATTCAAAATTTTTTTTCTTTTAAAAATAATCATTTAGTGATTATTATGTGTTTCTGAAAATTTTAGTCTAAGAAAATTCTAAGAAAATTATCCTACGTACGTGTTTTGAGTGAGGAAGAGATACACAATATGCTCCCACAAAGCATAGTATATGCGCTCATTTTAGATATCAAACTGGTTGAACTATGATGGTTAGAGATGCCACTCATCCTTGTTTCTTGTCTGACTTTATGGAAGAAAGTTTCCACCTCTACAACTAGGTATCTTTTTATCACCTTCAAAAAGAGGTGATCTGGCTGTGGACCTCTTTCCTTAACAAAAAAAAAAAAAAAGAAGAAAGAAAAAAAAAGGAAAAGAGAAAAATAGGAAATGTGGAGGTGGAGGTGGACATGCTAGCCAAGGAAGAAAAAATGCTGAAATAAGTTAACATTTCTAAAAAAAAACGACATGCTAGCCAAGGAAGAGTGGTGTAGTTACAGCTAGTCCAATTCCACTTGCATCAGCATATATGTTTCCTCTTTCTTCTTTCTCTTATTCTCCTCTCTGTTTTCTTTTGCTCCTCCTTTTTTCTTATTTGTGGATATGTCTTTCATCATTATCATCATCATTTGAGCCTTTTCCCAACTATTTGGGGTCGGTGATACAAATCCTGTTTTCCCACTCCACTCTATCAATGGCCATACCCTCAGTTAAACCATAGGTCACTATATATCTCTTCTCACTACTTCCATCCATGCCCTTTTGGGCCATCCCTCTTTCCCTTTTAGAGCCTTTCACTTAAATCAAATCACCCCTCCAAACTGGTGTTGTTCTAGATCGACGTTGCATATGCCCAGACTTATTTAAAATGCATGTAAACAATAGGGGAGTGGATGAATACAATTTGATAACATTGTATTAGTCTATACTCTTGAATACAATTGATAACAGATCCTTCCTATCATGAAAATTTGGTTTCTTATGTCTATAAACAATAGGGGAGTGGATGAATACAAGCATTTTGTTAGTACTTGTGCATATATTTTATTAGATCTTTTTGTTAGCATGATATTCGTATGATTGCTTACAGGATTGGGACTGTGCGTTGTGTTAAGATTGAGAGGGAAGAGAGAGAGATATAAAGAGTAACATTCAAGCACAATATAGACTAGATACATATTTTTCCACACTCTACAAATCATAGGGCAATGTGCCCTCTATATGCACAGATTCCTATGGGGGTTATAGTATTGGTAGGTGAACTTGCAAAAGAATTAGAACCATTACATCAGGAGTTAAAATCAAGAGTTATAATAACTGTTACAGCAGGTTCTAATGGGCATGAGGTCCATTATTCATTGGAGTTGGAGGTTTTAATGGGCGTGAGCCCATAACACCATAATAACCACTATATGAGACCCATTACACTTAGGAGTTACGACTGGTACATAGGTTTTAATGGGCAGATAACGGTTTCTACACTCCCCCTCAATCTGGATCTTATATTTCATAGATGCCCAGCTTGCCCAAAGTATCCTTTAGTTGAACTTGATTAGAGGCCTTGGTAAGTATGTCTACCATTTGATTCTCAGATCGAACAAACGGAGTACATATTGCCTTTGAAGTGACTTTTCTTCGACAAAGCGGCAGTCGACCTCAATATGTTTGGTTCTTTCATGAAATACAAGATTCAGGCTTTTATAAATTGCCACTTGATTATCACAATGTAGAGGAATGGGAGTTGATACTTTAACACCCATCTCTTGAAGAAGAGAGCATATCCAAATTATTTCACATGTAGCACTTGCCATTGCTTAATATTCAGCTTCTGCTGAATATTGAGCTACAACCATTTGCTTCTTACTCTTTTAAGTGACTAAATTACCACCCACTATCATAAAGTAGCTACTAGTAGATCGTCGATCAAGAGAATAACTGGCCCACTCCGCATGGCAGAAACCTTGTATATCAAAATGACCTTGATTGGTATAAAATAGCCTTCTCACTGGATCAGATTTTAAATATCATAAAATGAGATAAACTGCTTACACTTGATGGGAGCATGGTGCGTGCATATACTAACTTGCTACTATTACAACATATGCAAAGTCTGGACATGTGACAGTCAGCCCACTAATCTTAAATATACACTAGGGTTACTCTGAGGCTTTGACTGCTGATCATACAATTTGTGATCAACCTCTATAGGAGATTCTACTGGTTTGGCTCCCAGCATTTCTATGTCATTGAGGAGATTAATAGTATATGTCCTTTGAAACAAAAAATTCCTTGTTTAGACTTAGCCACCTCCACAAGATCCTTGGACCTTGATGTCAGAAACACCCCCAAGAACTCTTTCACTATTTGAATTTTGTTATCATTATTTCCTGTGAGCACAACATCATCAACATACACTATCAGTAGAATAAGACTCTCTTTTAACAAATACAAAATGATAAAAAACATTCCTTTGAAATCCGAATTGACATATTGCTGTACTGATTTTTGCGGATCAAGCCCGAGGTGACTGTTTGAATCCATATATCGCTTTCCTCAACTTGCAGACATTCCCTTTCTCCCCTTGAGGATAAAACCCAGGTAATTCCATATGCACTTCCTCTTGCAGATCTCCATGGAGAAAAATATTCTTCACGTCTAGTTGGTGGGGTAGCTATTTCCTATTTGTGACAATAAATAAAAATACAAGTATTGATTTCAACTTTTCCATTGGAGCAAAAGTCTCCATATAATCAACCCCATATAATTTTGTAAAACCCTTAGCCACTAGATGATCTTTGTATCTCTCAATCGAACCATTCGGTTTGTGCTTCAAGGTATACCCATCTGCATCCTAGCACATGTTGTCCTTTTGGCCGATCAATTATATCCCAAGTTTGATGCTTCTCTATGGCAGTCATTTCCGCAATCATGGCTGCTTTTCATTGTGGATGAGCCAATATATCTGCAACTTTGGTGGGAATAGAAATAGATGAAGTAGATCAAAGGTATGCACAAAAAGAAGGTGAAAGTGAAACATAAGAAACAAACTTACTGATCAAATGAGAAGTAAAAGATCTTTTTTTTTTTTGTCCTTATTGAAATTGGTAAATTGAATTAAGAAGATATAGGGGTCAACGAGTTGGGGTTGATTGTTTACAGTAGACTTTCCCTTGTTCCTTTCTCGGGTGTATTTATTTACATGTTTCTTAGTAGATTCTGCATGTTCCTGGGTTGGATTATTGAAAGTATTTGTGATCATTGGAAGCGGAATAGGATTGTTGGGTGGCATAGTGGATAGTGAATCTCTTTATGATTAAAAAGAGGGTATATTCTCAAAGAATGTAACATCTTTTGCGACATATTTCCTTTTAGTTTTTGGATAGTAACACTTGTATCCCTTCTGTGAGTTCGAGTATCCTAGGAACACACATTTGGTAAATTGAGGTCCTAATTTATTCCTAGCCGACCCAATATATGCACAAAGCAGACACAACAAAAGATTTTTGGTGGAAGAGAAAACAAAGAAAGTGTATGGCAGCAATAAGAACTACTTCATCCCAATACATCTTAGGAGCCTTTATTCCTATTAAGATACCTCTCACTTCTTCCAACAAGTGTCTAATTTTCCGTTCTACCACATCATACTCTGTTGTGGTATGTAGGAACGTGATGTTTGAGTTTCTATATTGTATTCAAGAAAATAATTATTTAATCAATGGTTTAGATACTCGTGCATTATCAGAATGAAATTTTTTTGTTTGGGTCTCAAACTGGGTTGGAACCATTTTATGAAATATTTTTACTATTGAAGGTACTTCATCTCTACTTTTCGTTAGATAGATCCAAGTATAATGAGAGTAGTCATCAATGAATGACATAAAATACCTATATCCAGAACAAAAATAACAGGAGCGGGCCCCTAAACATTAAAATGAACAAGATGGAATGGCTTAGAACTTTTATTTTTTCCAGAAAAAAAAAGGAGGTTCTACATTGTTTAGACATTGACATGTCTCATATTGTAGCCAAGGAACATCCAAAGAAACAAACTTATCTAGAAGCAATAACTTTTAAGATTTCAGAGACATATGACCTAAGCTGGTGTGCCACAAGAGGACATGCTCATGATTTCTAGACTCAGAGTTGAGACCAATACAAGTACATCCCATGTTGAAAAGGTACAACCATTGTCTTCATGACCACTACCAATCGTCTATCTTGTTTTCGGGATCTGAGAAACACAATGTGAGGGAAAGAATGTGACACTGCAGTTGAGTTGTTTTGTCAGGCTGCTAATAGAGAGAAGCTTGGAAGGAAATGAAGGGACATGTATTACAAAGGGTAAGGATAAGGATAATGAAAGTTTATGTGTTTCAGCCCTAGAGTCACTGGTCATGGATCCATTAGTAAGTTTAACTTCTCTAGGAGCATGAGAAAAAGAAGCAATCAACTTTCTTACCGGTCATATGATCAGTAGCCCCTTAATCAATGATCCAGGATGTAGAATAGATGGAGTTGGAAGCATGATTTGCAATTGCATATATACCTGGCTGCTCCGCCAGTGTTTTAGAGCCGGTGGAAGCTGTCAACTGGTGCTGTAAATCTTGATGGCTTGAGCTCTTGGACCGGATAGTTTGGGTTGTGTGGCTGAGGTTTCCTCCCCACTCAGTCGATACAATGTGGGCACTTGCATTCCTTGGGTTCGGTCTCTGTTGTGGACACGAGTCCCAACAATTCTCTTGGGTGTCTCTTTTCTTTCCATGATGGGAGCATTTGAGTTTCTCCTTTTTAGTGGGAGATAGTAGAGCACGATTTGGTCTTGTATACCCTCTTTTCCTTGCTTGAAGCATGTTGCAGAGGCTGATTGTTCATGATAGATGCTTAAGTTTTTTCCTTATCCAAAAGCTTTTCTACTTGCCTCCCCCAACATAATTATAGACAGGCTCAAGGGAGGCAATTTGTCCTTTCTTAGAACTTGTACTCTCTGAAGTTCAAAGTCAAGATGTAGGCTTGCGATGGGCTTCCCTTGCGGAGCTATGCGGGAGGGGTATTATCGGATGTCTGACAGTTTTTCTAGTAAGCTAATGGTTGATTCCAGATCTAAGTGGGTAAGGCAGGTGCTGAGGCCGTTTAAGGCTCGCTCCTTGCTTATGCACTCAACTCGCTGGGTCTTAGTCAAAGGCGTAGCCAATTACCTTCCTTCTTTCCTTCCATAATGAATTCCATCAGCATTGACATCAAGAAAGAGCTCTTTTTCCAAGTGGCACGGCCAGCACTCATGAGGCTCACAGGTGCGGTTCGTTCGTTCTGCGCCTATTAGTTTTGAGTTATGACTTGCTCATTCTTCCCTCAACAGGCACGCACGCGGTCAGAGATCAACCTCCAGAGCGAATGCTTGAATGTTCTATTTAACTTAATTGGTACTACTTCGCTATCGGTCACCCAGGATTAGCCGTCCTTGCTGAATCTGGGAACGAGTGATGCTTTCGACTAGGGTCCACCAGCAGCACGACGCTTGTCTTGCTCTGCACCGAGGGTAGCTTTTGCTTTCTTTTCCTCTTAAGAACTTAAAGATCCTTCTTTGCTCAGCCTGTTTTTTAATGGCATCAACTATGGGATTAACAAGCTGATAGAGGTCTAGTTCTTCCCACTTTTTCTATTGTATCCCAAAGTACTCCTCCATAGTCATTTACCCTTGTTGCAAATTTGCTATTTTGCGATGCAATTGATAAAGCCTAACCATATCATCTCCTTGGGAGTATGTCTTGGCTATTGCCTTCAATATATCCTTTGCAGGCTTAAGAAGCAACAATCACTTGCTGATCTTGGTTGCATAGAATGAAGAAGCCATGCCAATTACTGTCAAGTTCACTTTCCCATTCATCATGGCATGGATCATCTGTGGGAGTTTCCTGCTATATTTCCCAATTTCCTCCGGCGTTCTATGAACATTTTGGCATATTGGGACCATTATAAGTAGCTTGTCCATCTAGCTTAGCTGTAACAATCATCAATCCTGGGTGCTCAAATTGACTGCTTCCCAAGGAAATATTGTGCTTGATTTCGAACGTTTTCCTTATCTCTTGAACAAGATACACTAAGGCCATTTTTTCCCCCCAAGGTACTAATTCTTTGGTTTCAAATGAGAGGTTGCTGGAAATGTGAGATTTCTGGAAATATGAAGTCGCTGGAAATATGATGTTTCTGGAAATGAGGTTGCTGGAAAAGAAAGAGTTTGTTTTACTGTGTCTCTGGAAATGTGAGATTGCTGGAAATCTGAGGTGCTGGAAATGTGTGATTGCTGGAAATCTGAGGTGCTGGAAATGTGAGATTGCTGGAAATGTGAGGTTGCTGGAAATGTGAGATTGTTGGAAGTATGAGCTTGATGGAAATATGTTGTTACTGGAAATATGAGGTTGCTGAAGAGAAAGGAGGTTGGGATGAAATCTTACTTCTTGGTAAAAGAAAGTGAGATGATCTTGCTGGAAATATGAGGTAGCTGATACACCACAGCCTCTCGCCCAAGAAGGAAGACAAATCATGATTCTAGGGTCACCGGTAGTATTGGATGTCCTTGGGTTTCTAACCCATCTCTGATACCAGGTTAAGATTGAGAGAAACCCATCTCTGATACCAGGTTAAGATTGAGAGAGAGAGAGAGAGAGAGAGAGAGAGAGAGAGAGAGAGAGAGAGAGAGTAGAAG